TAGAGAAGGAAAGATCTTGTGGAATTTGAGGGGAAATTTAGAGCCACCCCCAGAATAACCCTGCTGAAAACACACTAAGGTACAGAGTAATGATAAAAGTATCCAAAATGAAAAAGAATAGACTTGAAAAAATTTTAAGGTTGAAAAGAATTAAAAATTGAAATTCTGGAAAAAATGACTAAAATATGGATAATTGAAATTCTTTTTAAAATATAGCAGAATGAACTGGGTGCAGTAGCTCAGGCCTGTAATCCCAGCACTTTGAGAGGCTGAAGCAGGTAGATAACTTGAGGTCAGGAGTTCAAGACCAGCCTTGCCAACGTGGTGAAACCCTGTCTTTACTAAAAATACAAAAAATTAACCATGCATGGTTGCGGACACCTGTAATTCCAGTTACTCTGGAGGCTGAGGGAGGAGAATTGCTTGAACTGGAGAGGCAGCGGTTGCAGTGAGCCAAGATCGCACCACTGCACTCCAACCTGGCTGATGGAGCAGGCCCTGTCTCAAAATATGTGTGTGTGTGTGTGTGTGTGTGTGTGTGTGTATCATAGGTATGTCTCATATATATGAGATATATATCTTTCATATATCAGAATATTTAACAACTTAGTTTCAGAACATTTTCAGAAATAAAAGAAAATTTTATAAATGAAAAAATACATTAAAATTCAGAGAAAAAAATAGTAGTAAAATTGCTATACATAAACAAGTAAGAAAGGAGATGAAGGGGGAAGAATGAGGAGAACTAGAAAATAAGGAAGAGGAGGAAGGAAAAATAGAGTGTGCTCCCATTTCATTATTCTTTCTGTTTCTTTTTCTGAATGTCACTTTGGTCTGCGGCCATACCACCCTGAACGTGCTCAATCTCGTCTGAATGTCACTTTGGTCTTATGAAATTTGATGTAACTGAATATTTTCAGATTATGGGCATTATAGAATTTTCATTCAAGAAAAAAACCTGTTTTCAAAACTTAGGAAATAAATGGTTCAATATCTAATCTGACGTAATGTCTGGATTTTTCTTTTATTTTGCAGAAAACTCAGAATCTTTTTGAATTTCAAAAACGTTGAAACTTGTTTAATGGATGCCATTCTACTGGATTATTATGTATCTGGATTTTTGTGGGCTAGAAGAATGGATTTCTCTGTTATTCAATATTCAAAATTTATGACTTTGTTAGCCATGTTGCTTTGGAATCTTAAAAGTAAGTACATTATTTTTCTTTTTTTTTTAAGTAAAAGAAATTTACCATCTAAACTGAGGTTCTTAAGCAAAAGTTACTGATTTTATTGTAATTCCTTTAATGAAAAATTTGGGGTTTTCCTAAGTATAGCAAATATATAGCTCATACCTTCATTGAGTTACAAAAACAAACAGTTTTCTTAATAATCAGTTTGCCAAAGATATGTTAATTTCATTTTAAAGTTGTATTGGTGCCATCCACCCTCTAAATATCTGGGGACTCTGCGATATTCTTGTAATCTTTCTGTAAATCTAAAATACACTGAAATTAAAAGTCTATCAATAACTATTAGCTTTCCCTAGAATAGAATGCTAGAAAGCTATAAAAAGGAGAAAATGAGGAAGCTTTCTATGTACTGTATGGGAGACAATATATAGTTATTAAGTAAAGCATGGTACAGAACTGCATGCTTTTATTTACAAAAGAGACAAAAATAAGAATCTATCAATATTTTTATTTGTGTATACACGAAGAAATGCTGAAAGATACAGAAAAAGTTAATAATTAAAATTCCCTGGGGTGAACAGTAGTAAGAACTGGGCATTTGGGCAGCAGATATTGGAGGAAGTCTTTTCACAAGATTTCTGCATATGTAGTTTTGAAATGTGAATACATCACTAATGCAAAAATTAAATTTTTAAACAGAATATGTAACATGGACTGTCCTAAGCCTCAGCAACTTCTGAGCTGAGTATTCATACACTAGAAATAGAATAAAGGAAAGTAAAAATTTTCATGAACCTTACATCCCAAATTTAAGAAGATATTTCTTTTTTAAACTTTTCCCTTACCTTATAAGACTCAATAACATTTCTTCTAGGTGAAACTTTATATTGTTGATATTATTGCAAAAATGAATTTCTAAAACCTGAACAGGATCCATCCAGCTCCTCATAAACCATGAGAGAGAAAATACATATGTGAAACCTAACCAGAAAAAAAGCAAGAAATCTAGTTTTACCTTCTGGCAGAAAAAAAATTAAAATAAAAAAAATTTCCTCCACACTTTTAAACTTAACAAAGTTATAGTCATCATTAGGAAAGAATGTAATTTTAGCCAAGGAAGGAGATAAAGTATGTTTACACTTCAGCTAGGTAGCAGTAGGGTCCTGAGAGCATAGCCACCACTCCCATTCAGCAATGTCATAATAGAAAAAGCCCAAAAGAGCACACTCTGGGCCTCTAGCAGGAGTGTGCTCTGTCCAGTGCAGGAGCTGTGTTTCATGCTAGCTCAGTCTCCAACCTGATCCTTGTCTTAAACTTGAGCTGCATATCTACCAGGTATTCTGCAGTCAACCCATCTAGAATCAAATTGGATCAAATTGGATATGGGACAGGCCAGGCACAGTGGCTGATGCCTTTAATACCAGCACTGTGGGAGGCCAAGGCAGGCAGATCACAAGGTCAAGAGATCGAGACCATCCTGGCCAACATGGTGAAACCCCATCTCTACTCAAAATACAAAAATTATCTGGATGTGATGGCACAGGCCTGTAGTCCTAGCTACTTGGGAAGCTAAGGCAGTAGAATCACTTGAACCCTGGCGGCGGAGTTTGCAGTGAGCCAAGATCGCGCCACTGCACTCCAGCCAGGTGACACAGCGAGACTGCATCGCAAAAAAAAAAAAAAAAGGGTACATAGAACTTGTACACTTTTCTTAACAGTATATATTGTGAGGTCTAGTTTTTCTAGGGCCTGACCAAGGATAAGCTGTAGAGCAAGTTTGTTCAATCCATGTCCTGCGAGCTGCATGTGGCCCAAGATGGCTTTGAATGTGGCCCAACACAAATTTGTAAATTTTCTTAAAACATTATTGGATTTTCCTTGCCATTTTGTTTAAGCTCATCAGCTATCATTAGTGCTAATACAGTTTATGTGTGGCCCAAGACGATTCTTCTTCTTCCAGTATGGCCCAGGGAAGCCAAAAGACTGGACACCCCCGCTCTGGAGTATTGGATAGACTGGGTATTGGGCCTTTATCCAGGTCCATAGGCCTAGATGGACCCCTCTGTGTATAACATGAATGTTAGTAAGTAAGTATAGAATATTTTTTAGTTCTTATGATGCTAAATTGGTTTTCCTCTTAATAGGAATAGTAAATTCAGGTGACATTTATGTAGATTAGCTTGTGCAAGTCACAGTGCCAATTGCTTTACAAATATTGTCCTATTTAATTTACATGCTACCTTAAGAGAGAAATTAATGAGTCAGAGGGGTTCAGTGACTCCTTAAGGTCACACAGGGTCTACACTAGCAAGTGAGAGCCCATCCTTCTGAAAAATACAACAAATGTGCTGGCCTTGGGCTAAATATAGAAAACCACTATACACATATAATAGCACCAGGAATTCCACATATATTCATTTTCTTTTCTTTCTTTTTTTTGAAGCAGAGTCTTACTCTGTCTCCTGGCCAGGCTAGAGTGCAGTGGCACAATCTCGGCTCACTGCAACCTCCAACTTTTGGGTTCAAGCAATTCTCCTGCCTCAGCCTCCCAAGTAGCTGGGACTACAGGCACATGCTACCATGCCTGGCTAATTTTTGTACCTTTAGTAGAGATGGGGTTTTGCTATTTTGGCTTGGCTGGTCTCAAACTCTTGACCTCAGGTGATCTGCCTTCCTCCGCCTCCCAAAGTGCTAGGATTACAGGCAGGAGCCACTGCACCTGGACACGAATTTCTTATTCAATCCACACAACAGTACTATAATTTTGAAAATAGGTATTGCAGTATTCTCATTTTACATAGAAAGGAAATGAGGCCAGGTGCAGTGGCTCATGCCTGTAATCCTAGCACTTTACGAGGCCAAAGCAGGAGGATCTTTTGAGGCCAGGAGTTCAAGACCAGCCTGGGCAACATGGAGAAATCCCATCTCTAAAAAAAAAAAATTAAAAATTAGCCAGGTATGAGGGCGCACAGCTGTGGTCTCAGCTACTTGGGATTCTGAAGTGGGAGAATCACTTGAGCCCAGGAGGCTAAGGCTGCAATGAGCCATGATTGTATCACTGCACTGCAGTCTGGGTAACAGAGCAAGACCCTGTCTCCAAAAGTAGATAAATACAAAGAGACTCAGGTCACCCAGATATTAATAGTAAAGGTCAGTTAGGTATCATCCTACATTTTTCAATTAATTATAAGTCTAGTAAGTTCTTTCATTACTCTAAATTTTCAAGAATAAATTTTATTTCTAGAAGCTTTTACTATTTGAGTGGCTTAGTCTTTTATATTTTAATCACATCGCTAAATGGGATTTTTAAAAGAGCAGATATTTCAGTTAGATAAATGAAATTATAACTTCCCTAATTTTTAAAGGAATTATCTACAGAAAGACATCAGACATAGAAAACAGTTTTAAAGATTCAACTATTTTCAGAAGGAAATAGTCATATAAATGTATTTTTGTTTGATAAGTATAATTTTATCTAGAATTATAATCAGTTATCTAAGAACTTCTCTTTTCTCTGCATCTCTAATTAATATCATTTTATTAATAAAATGATTCAGATTTTCCATTCATTTATGAATTCCTTTTATCCAACAGATTTTTCATTTCTGAAGCTACTTCCACTATTATCAAAAGAAGTTTATCATGAAGAGAGAAATGTACAATAATAATTGAATTCCACTTAGAATGATATGGGAATACCTAGTTATCCAGAAATAATTCAGTGTATCTGACATACATAAAAGATGATCTGGTGGGAGGCAATGGGAAATGAACCAACTGTAATTCATTAAACCAGATTTTAATTGTTGTATATAGTTTTATGCTTCTTTCTAATTCCTATAAGTAGACAAGAAGCTATACTAAACAAATTTCAAGTTAGTGTATATAGTGTCTTCCTAACATTTTAAATTACTTTACCTTATTAGTAATTTTGGTATTTACGGTAGAGCACTTACACACCAATGGAAAGGCATAGCTGTGTAATCCAGAAATACCTGGTCCAGCAATCTGCCTATGTTCTCATAACTTCTTTTAATCTACACCCCCATCCCTTCCAAATCAACTCATCCCAGTGGGAAGGAGGAACTGTGTAATCCAGAAATACCTGGTCCAGCATTCAGCCTATGTTCTCATAACTTCTTTTAATCTCCACCCCCTCCCTTCCACATCAACTCCATTACAACAAGTGTAGCATTTACTGATGGTTTGAGAAAGAGAGAGATTTGGTTGGTGGGGTCCACACTGAGCAGCACAATTCCCCCAGATCCCACATTCAGGTCTCCTGCTGACATTCACCTCCCCTAAGCAGCCGGCCCAGCCTGGCTTTAGTGTTTTTCAGCTCTCCACCTCCAGGATCCTTGGTTTTAGGTCCATACGCTCATCACTTTTCTGCAAACATAGGACACTCTGGCCAGTCCACGTACCTGACTCCATCTTCCAGGGAAAGGGTGGATAGCATATGTGTGGGTTGTAAATAATATTTTATCTGTCACAAGTAACATCAAGCATAATGGAGCCAAACGAGAAAAGAAGATAAAAGTTCATATTATTATTACAGACGCTTTAAAAGTTAAGTCTAAGGTGTTCTTTTTCAACTGGACAAATGCCACAGAAGATAGTTTCGAATGTTTGTTTTCATTGGTGTGAAGCTGTGAGAGAATAGATGAGAATCACTGCGCTGGTTACTTCTGCTAGTGGTGGCCAGGTTGTGGTCACTCGTTGTACATTTTCATCCGCCTCTCATCAGCACCACTGGGCAGACATTTGAGAAATGGCTTACATGAGTTATAAGTCTGTAGCTGTGGAAAAGAAAAAAAAAAACTTGATGTTTTACAGAAAAATCCATATTTCTGACTTCTATTGAAAATCTTCAAACCCAGATTTACACATGGAAACAATTGGCTGAAGCCCAGTGTTGATTGACTCCACTCATTTACATTTTCAGCTCTAAGTTCAGCTCTGCTGTCTAGTAACTGAGCCTACCATCTAAGCCTTCCCTTCCTCACCAGCTGTCAAACATCTTTTTTGCAATTTTCATGCTTTTATTCTAAGATTGTATATATATTTTTAAAAACTCCTTTTCATTTTAAAGAAAGACTTTAAAGTAGATTTTGACTTTTTTTTCATCCTAAAATGGAAACATTAACTCTGCAGACAATTGTGTAGCATTATAGTAATTTACAAATGTTGGGGTGGGGTCAGCTGCTATTTTTTTTTTCCCGAGACCAAGTCTCACTCTGCCACCAAGGCTGTAGTGCAATGGCACCATCCCAGCTCACTGCAACCTCCACCTCCCAGGCTCAAGCCATCCTTGTACCTCAGCCCCCCAAGTAGCTGGGACCTCAGGCATGTGCCACCATGCCTGGCTAATTTTTGTGTTTTTTTTGAAGAGACAGGGTTTCCCCCTGTTGCCAGGCTGGTGTCTAACTCATGGGCTCAAGTGTTCCACCCACCTCAGCCTCCCAAAGTGCTGAGATTACAGGCTTGAGCCACCATTCCCAGCCAGCCGCTATTCTTTTGCACAAAATGTATTAATTTATTAATAAGAAACAAGAGTTTTACAATTTATCCTCACAAATACTTAACAAAGTAAATTTTGGCACATTAAAAACATCTTGGATTATCTTATCCTGAAAACATCTATCAAAATAATACTTAAGATTTCTCTGGATTTTATTTCAGCACTACATATGTCCTTAGAGGACAGCATAAAATGGCTTGGAGAAGTTATGGCTGAAATAGGACCAAATCATTCACGAAAAAGTGAGGAATGGAATATCTTTGATGTAAAACAAGCCAATGCTATCATTGATTACATAAAAATCAGGTATGGATTATTTTCAGTAACATTTATCTTTCACATCTTCTGGAAAATGTTAAATAAAAATAATTCAGCTTTTAGCAAATTCAGATATTTACAGAATTTATGCAGTAATTGGCCCAACCAATAATTAGGTAATTAAATCTTCTTTAAATTAGGTGTACAAATCTTTCATCTGATAACTAAAAGTCAGAACAGTGAACACTTTGGCTAACTTTGCATTCCTGAAAAAAGGTTTGCATTTGATAAATATAATTTCATCTAAAATTATAATAAATTAAGAATTTCATTTTTCTTTGCATCTTTAATTAGTATTATTTATTATAGGATGATTCAGATTAATCAGATTCAATTACAATAGACTCTATACTTTAGGTAGTTGATCTTTCCAACTACCTGATTTTACATTTTGAAGAGCAACATTCATTGCTATTTAAATATTTATTTTAAATGCTTTGTATTAGAATTTGAAGAGATTTATGAATATGCTTCCTCAAATTTATTACATGCCCTGAAATATCTTGTACTATTGACCAATTAAACTCATTAAGTCTTTCTTACTGCTTGGAAAATGATGGTGGGCGGAAGGAAAGTATTTTTATTACAGTGATTCTTCATTGGTGAACTAAGAAATTTGTCTTTTTATATAATCTGTCACAAAATCTGCAGTAGAGTCATGCATCTCTCGAAAGGGACATTTTTAGAGTTTGCAAATATTCAAAGAAGAGTAGGTAAAAATCTTTTGTCAAGCTGAAAGCTTATGCATAATATTTTTGTTCCTCTTACACACTCCAGTGTTTTTCAACTTTAAAATTTAAAGTTCTAAAATAAGAGTGCTGACTGATATCCTAGACATGTTCATGATTTGCTTGGCAAGGATCCTGGTTGAAATCTAGAAAGCTTTTAAAATACTAGTGTGTTTAAAATGATAAAGTTTATATATTGGTTTCTGGCATGGATTAATAATGTCATATGATGTGATATGGTTTTTACATAATAACATTTGATATAATGTGGCTTCTTAATATTAAAACATACCTCCTAAGAGGTGTCTCTCAGTCAAAGCCAGAGTAGTTTTCATATCAATTAGAGTAGGCAAGGTTCTTGTATTGCGGGGGAGGATAGTAATCCAGAATTGGAGGAGAGACTATTCCTCAAGGTCTTTCTACCCATCAGAGTTTGAGAATCACTGGGCAAGAAGAATTCCACTTTGCACATTGTATTAACATCCTTCTTTTCCGTCTCTGTTTGAACAGTCCCAGTTTCTCTTGCAGAACACATTTTTAACAACTGAGCTCTCAGCCCAGGAGGCTTCTAATGGGCACCGGGACTGAGAGTTAACCAGGGCCACAAAACCCATGCAGGTGCTGTAATCACACCTTCCAGAAGGCGAAGGATGGCAACTCTTTTCCCCTTCATCTCGACTCTCTGGGCGAATGTTCATCAACATATTTCTTGACATTGTCCTTCAGAAAACAGTTAAGAGGAGACGTCCATGTTAGCCACCTTTAGAGCCTAACAGGATAATTTCACATATTATAAATCCCTAATATTATTACTTCACTAAACAAAACCAAAAAAGTTGTATTTAAGAAGTTAGTCAAATAAAGTAAATCACAACAATTTTGATGCTGTTAAGTCTTCATATTGTTATTTCAAAGAAATTATGCAATTTAAATATTCCTATTACAGAACTATAAAATATCAGTAGGATATCTGGAATTGATTCTGAAGTTGTGTAAAAGAAAATATGCTTTTCTACAACACCTGTTCAGAACCCCTCAAAAGTCCACAAATGAAAGTTTGAAAGGACCTGGGAGGAGGGGCAGCATCAGGAAGACTAGCTAATGGATGCTGGGCTTAATACCTAAGTGATAGGTTGATCTGTGCAGCAAACCACCATGGCACCCATTTACCTATGTAACAAACCTGCACATCTGGCACATGTATCCTCAAACTTAAAAGTTGAAGGAAAAGAAAAGTTTAATGACAATGAAATAATATAATATTTTTCATTTTGATGACTACAAAGCAGTTTTACAAATATGAAGGTAACCCAGTTATCAAAAGTATAAGAGTGTTTGAATTTAACCTGATGTTAAATTTACCCAACCACTAAAAGCCATTTAGGGAAAGCAGTTTTTACAACATGACCCATAGCACATGAAACTTAACTGACAATCAGATGGAAATTTCATTCGATGCTGTTAACACACTCTGTCATGTGTCTGTGATTCGAAAAAAATGAATACCAAATTTCCTTCCCCACCTGACTATAAGTGCTGGCAAATCTAGTTGTGCAAGTCTAGTGGCACATTTGTAAGTATTATATAATGTGTAGGAATATAAACACTTCTGCAACTTTTTAGTATAAAACATCATACAGAATACTATGCAGCCATAAAAAAGGCTGAGTTCATGTCCTTTGCAGGAATGTGGATGAAGCTGGAAATCATCTTTCTCAAGCAAACTAACATAAGAACAGAAAACCAAACACCACATGTTCTCATTCATAGGAGGGAGCTGAACAAGGAGAACTGAACACAGATAGGGGAACATCACACACCAGGGCCTGTCGGGGGGTGGGAGGTTGGGGGAGAGATAGCATTAGGATAAATAGCTAATGTAGATGACAGGTTGATGGGTGCAGCAAACCACCATAGCATATGTATACCTGTGTAACAAACCTGCACATTCTGCACATGTACTCCAGAACTTAAAAGTATATATATATATATATATATATATATATATATATAAAATTGCTGTTCTAAAGCAAACTGCATCAGGATTATGTGAGGAAGGCACTTTGGGTGACAAAAAAATGAATAATAAATATAACAATAGGGGAAAAGACATCATTTACATATATATGGCCCAAATACACTTTTGTCCTTGTGGATTCTACCTATTTTTGGGAATTAGGCGATAGCAATTTCAGGTGTATACCCAACATAAGAGGCATATACTCAATATAAGAAAATCAACCCTGCCCCTCTGTACACCACAGGGTGCTGCACTTCACGCATTGAGCCAGACATCTTGAATTATTTTCACTTTATCTCTCTTCAATTTAGAACTAAGACTAAATGTTTGACAAAATAATCTAAGAGGTTGAGTCAGTCAGAAGAGGAAGAAAATGCATGATCACAGCAGAAGTGTCACTTTCTTCCCGTGCCCCTGGTAAAGCTAGACAAGGCCCTCGTCCTGGTCTTGCCCCCAAGCCTGCAGCTTTGACCACCTTATCCAAATCATGCATTTTCAATGTTAAGAAGTGACTTTCCGTCTTGGCATGGGACAACCTTATTCCTTTATGCAATGAAAATAATAAGGCTGAAAGATTACGAAATTGCAGGAAGGAAGATCTATGAATTAAGTTCTTTGTGTGACACAAGATAGAGAAAGGGACATTTTATGCTGGTTCTCTGAGAGGAAGCCAAGCTGTTTCCAAAATACTCTATAGGCTTTAATTTTTCTACTTAAAATCAGTTATTGCCAGTGTAATATTTTTGACCTTAAGGCTTTCTCTAGGTAACCAGTATAAGTTAGGAAGAATTTGAATTTATTTTGCTTCATTGAATTATCAAATTCACTAATCTTGATGTATTTTTCTAGCCAACAAATCAAAGTAATGTCAAAGCCAAGTTACTTTTCTGAATGTTGATGAGTAATTTGAATGTACAAAAGATTTTTTTCCCCAAAAAATAATACCATGACACAGTCTGCACATCCATCACTTTTTAATGGATTGTGTTAGTAGTGAGATCAACTGCTAATATAACTGAGAGAGACTCAGCTGCCTAAGAATTTCTTCATTGATTTCAAATGAATTGAAACTTTGATCCATTACAACATCCAGGAGAAGCCATTATTATACATGCTCTGTAGCTACATTTTGCAAACGTTAATTTCTCAGTTATATTAAAATCAATTTTCTTAAATAGCAAAAGTCACCAGAGTGAAAGAGAAACCACTAAGACAATTTTTTGTTCTTGGGCATTTTGCTGTATTATGAGTCTATTAATTTTCCCAACCAGCAGGAAGAGAACTAGAAAAATTCAAATGTTATCACAAACAGGATATTAGAAGTCAGCCCTTCAGTAAATTTTTAACTCTTAATAATGCATTGCTCTTTAAACTTACTGGAAATACTTGTGTTAGTGACCGCCTATCCTTTGGTTCTTTATAGTTTTTATATACTGACCACCCAGTTTTTAGGGTAAGAACTGAAGAAATAACCTCTCTTAAATTAACTTTTCCCTTTCATGTATGACCGAATATTCTGCAGGAAACTCAGACATTTTCGAAATGGATTTTAGTTCATGCACCATCATTTTTCAGGTATTATTAGAGATTAATTTAATCTTGAAACAGTTTGAGAATGTAAGAAGTAACTAATATAGAGGTAGATTATATAGCTCAGTGCCATTCGTACCAGAGGAAATTGACTCCTGTTTGCAGCAAAACATAGCAAATAATATGAAGTTTCATATTTTTTAGGAATGGCGCATTATTTGCTTTCAAGCTACAAAGAGTCAAGATGCCATCTAATTTCTTTCTTATTCCTAACTTACCCACTCATTGCAGATGGATTTACTGATATTATTGTAGGTTCTGTGTTATATTGTCATTTCCTTAAAAAATAAAACTCTAATTTCTTAGCATTTCCAGACAATTTCTTTTGGAATAAAGGAGGTTGCTAACTCTATTTTAGTGTTTGATAGCATTAGCTTGGTCAATATGAAGTTTCCTTTAATAAATGCTTTTACCTATTGTGGTTTTTTTTTCTGAAACTGACTTATCAGAGCGCACATTTGTTTTGTATTTCAGCTTATTTCAACACTACAAGCTCTACGAATTTATGTTCTACTCTGCCAGGGAAGAAATTGTGATAGGAACTGAGGTAAGTAATTTATCTAGATGGAATCAATTAAGCAGAATCACTTAATGCATGCTGATCAGCATCTGGATCTTTAACTGCTTAAAGCAACTTCTTGTCAAGATTATTCAAGTGTTAATATAACCAATTCGTAGTTTGCAAAAAGAATAATTAGATAAAGGGATCTTTGGATTAAGAAAATAAGCTGTCTTTTGGCATTAAAAGCATTGTTAATCATGCATACTTTGTGTATTTATGGATTATTTGACAAAGTTCAGTTGGATAAGGTACGTATGTCTGCATACAAATCAAGTCAGAAAAAAATGATAAACCAACTAGTAATTTGCAAAAAAGAATAATTATATAAATAAATGTAATGACAACTTAATTCAGTGAAATCTCTTCTAATTTCACATTTTTTTAATTCTACTCATTGTTTAAGACCTAATTCTTATCCCACTTCCTCAATGGATCACACCTACCTTAATTGCATCATAATCTCAAACAAAAGGTTTAGACAAACTCTCTAATCAATTCATATTATTGTATTCCAACTGATTTCTTATTGCTGAATTTGGGCTACTGTTGCACCAATAAGCATATAGATATGCACTGTATTATATGGTTTCCTATTTGTTTCCTGTGGGTTGATATAGTCAACCAATTATAGGCCATAATCAGAAATAAACAGTGAATAAGGGGATATTCTCATTATCTTTGTAATTTTCCTGATATTAAGAACCACGTGGAACATGCCAGCTATTCTGACTTCATGGGTATTGTTATTCTGGAATTTATAAACTACTCGCTTCATAAACACCTCAGTCACCATTACTCACTCTTCATTTGGGTACTTGTTCTAATGCCAGCCTTTTAAAAGTGAACTGCCAGAAAACAAGGAACCCTTTTTGCTTCTGATTTTCCTAAAAATTACTTCTTTGCAGTCTCCTCATACTGTAGCTTAAATTAGGTGTCACTTGACAAAGTTTCACTGAAAAACGTTTCCACTTCAGAATTACATCATATCGTGTGACAGCCCTTACAATAATTATCAGTTTGGAATATAATCCTATCTCATCAGTTCAAGCAAAACTTTGAGAATATGATAGTGGATCAATAACAGCTTAAGTAGATATTTAGAGTGATCAAGAAAAAATTTCAGAAAGAACTCCCTTTTCCTTTGTTAATTACACAATCATGCCTTTCTTCTGTATTGTAAGGATATATTTAGGTGAAATTTATGCTTATGGAAAGATGAAATGGAGAAAGTAGACACAGATCGGCTGCTTCATTTTCCATTGTCACTTGTATTTTCCCCAAGCTGACCAGAGCAATTAAAAAAAAAAAAATCCTTAAGAGATGAATGTTGTGTCTTCAAGAATTAGGCCACTCATGGAAATTTAAAGGATTAGTGAAAGCAGATTTTACACCACTACATTTTATGACATTTTAGAAGTGTTTGCTAACCCTTGATACAAATACCTGTTTTTTAATTAACAACCTTTCATGGCAGAGGCAGAGGCCTGCCCAGTAATGTGATTATTCATGCTGATCTCAAGGCTCTAGGACCAAATAAGGGCCATAAGACAAACACATGAATGTTTGAAATTTAACACTTAGGCAAGTATTCAACTTAGATAACACCAAAAAAACTTAGTTTCTTTAATTATGGATAGATGAGAACAAAACATAAATTTCCTTTAATCATAGGAGTGTCCCTTTCATAAGTGAGAAAAGAATGATGAAATAGAATATCGCCATTTGTCAACCTTTAATAAAATAATAGATCTAGGCAAGGATGATGCGTGGCTCCTGACATCACAAAAAGAAAGAAAACCAGACTTCACATGCTTTTTAATAAAATTATGTGAAACCCCATATAAATTGCTCTTTCAATTTGAACTGCTTAGTCTTTTTGTCAGTCTTCTAACACTAACTTCTCATTTACTGGAAATACGGAAGATAAAGGAATATGTAAAAGATATCATAAAAATGCAATTAGCAAATTAGGGTATAGGAGATTTTATAGGACAGAAGACATGAACTATTCAACAAACAAATTGCAAAAAAATAAAAATACATAAAGGGTAAACCTATAGATTAAAAAATGACTGAATAAAATTCAATGTAGGTATCTTATTTGGATCCCACTTCAAACAGACAGACAAACCAAACCACAAACACAAAACAGTTATGAGATAATTGAGGCATTTGAATATTGGCTGCATAGTTGAAGACGACTATTACTAATTCCTGGAACTTGTTAGTATATTACTTTACATGGTAAAAGGGACTTTGCAGATTTGATTAAGTTAATGAATTTGAGATGGAGGGATTATTCCAGATTACTGAAGTAGGATCAATGTAATCTCCATATAAGAAAAAGAGGAGGGCAGGAGGATCAGAGACAGAAAAAGGAAGATTTGAAGATGTCACTCTGTTGGCCTGGAAGATGGAGGAAGAGGCCACAACTTTGTCAACTGTCTTGTTACCTAGTATGGCAATGCCTTCTCATAGTTATTTTTAATACTTGATTATTATTGTTCATTTGTTTTAAATATGAAATTTAGAAATAAACCTGTGCATATGTGGGTTTTAATATGTGGCATATACAAATATTTAGTAAATTGGCATTTAAAATTAGTTGGGATAATTGGCTACATGTTTGTTAAAAATAAATTAGATTTTTACCTTATACCAAACTTAAAAATGAATCCAATTTATTAAGAGATTCATTTCCCATGATGGAAGACACGTTCCATAATGGTGAACTATAGTTTGGCAAACACTTCCACTGGGAACAACTAGAAAAATTGGACAAGATTTTTTTAAGCCTTAAATGTTTGAAAGCTCAGCTAGAAAAGCTCAAAAAAGATTATAAGCCTGACATTCAGAAATGCTTTCTACCTGTAGGTATCTACTAGTTTGGAAAAAGTGGCTAAGAAACTTAGAAGCTGAGAAGTAAAATTTTGATAGATGCTTGGAGCTAGGAGAACAAAAATTGGAGAGGGAAGAGAATATAGCAAATTTTACAAGTAGCATGTTGTGTCTACACAGGACCACATTTTAGGAGATCAGCCCTAACTAACATGGACTTAACTTCAATTCCAAATTTCCTCCATTTTTGGCAGATTTAGGTTAGCTGTATATAGTGTTGTTAACTTCCTCTGTAAAATAAAATCATGCTACACTCCAGATTGTATCAACAGTTTTTCATAACCAATGTCTGTCACATAATAAAAATCACACAGAAAACAAAAATAGAACACAACTATTCCAGATGATGGAGTCATAGTCATGTACTTGAAAATAATTATCCTTAAGAAATAAAAAATATTCTTGAAAATAAAATATATAAATTTTAGCAGATAACAAAAAATGATTACAACATTAAATAGAAGTTCTGAAATAGAAAACTACAATAAAAATTTAAAAACAAGTGAATACGTTTAACAAGTTAGTTCATAGCTAAAGAGAAAAATTGGTAAACTGGAAGATAAATCCAAAGAAAAAATCTAAAATAAAGCATGGCGATGCAAAAGTATGTAAACACAGAAAATGTGTAAGACAGTATGGATATAGTAAAAGGTATGATGGAGAGAAAAAAAGTCAATTCTAGAATGAGAAGATAAAAGTGACATATGAAGCGTTAATTTTCCAGAACTAACCAACAACATTAGGAAACAGATTTAGGATTTACTTGAACACTAGATACATGTCAATCCACACCTAAGCATAGTATAGTAAAATTTCTGAAAATGAAAGACAAAGACAATCTTAAAACCAACTGTAGAAAACAAAAGACATATGTCCTTGAAGGAGGTAACAATAAGACTGACAGCTGACTTAGCAATCACAATGACAGCCAGAGGACCATGAAGTAATTTCAAATTGTCCTAAGCAAATAACTGCCAATCTAGAACTTCATAGCAAGAAAAAACAGTTTCTGTGATAAAATAAGAAAAGGCAAACAGGGCAACAGAAACATGGGCAAAGAATATGAACAGAAAATATGAGGATTTTAATAGAGAGATTTCTAGATATATAAAACAAGAAAATTGGCCAGACGCAGTGGCTTACGCCTGTAAACCCAGCACTTTGGGAGGCCAAGGCGGACGAATTATGAAGTCAAGAGATCGAGACCATCCTGGTCAACATGGTGAAACCCTGTCTCTACTAAAAATGCAAAAATAGCTAGGCGTGGTGGCACATGCCTGTAGTCCCAACTACTTGGGAGACTGAGGCAGGCGAATCGCTTAAACCCAGGAGGCAGAGGTTGCAGTGATCCGAGATCGCACCATTGCACTCCAGCCTAGGCAACAAGAACAACACTCCATCTCAAAAAAAGGAAAAAGAAAATTTATTAGAAACACACTAAAGGAAGTATTAACAGGTACTCTCCAGGCATAAAGAAAATGATTCCAAATGGAAAGTGAGAGAAATAGAAAGGAATGAAGAGCAAGTGAAATGAGGAATGAGGAGCAAGTGAAATGGACAGATTAGGATGGATGGATGGATAGATAGATGGATAGATAGGTAGATAGATACATCTAATTGAATATCAAATGCATTACACAAAATATTTTATGAGGTTTAAAATTCACAATGACAATAGCATATAAGTCAACAGAAATGTAAGTGACTTAGTTTTCTAAGCCTCTCCCATTGTTTGAGGCAAGTAAAAGTACTCATTTATAAATATTTAATAAGCCAAGGATGCATATTGTATCCTTGGAGTAAGCATTGAATAAATGATAAATGCTAAGCTAAGAGACGAGGAAGATGCAACAATAAAATCAGTTACAGTAATAAATTAAAAATGCAAAACTACAGTAATAAATATGAAGGGAAATATATTTAATTGTGGAATTAGCCATATAAATTTTTTAAAGATTTGATTTAAAATATCATGAATAAAAATTTTTAAGTCACTGGGAGGAAACATTTGAAAATTAACATATGAAGGTCAAATTGTTTTGTTTTGTTTTGTTTAACTTTTTAGAGATGGGGTCTCATTCTGTTGT